ACTGTAATTTTATACATTTCTTGTGAAAGAAACATTTCTTATTCAACGGCCATAAAAATTATTAATATTAATGATGTCTCCAAAGTTCAACAAAGTTTTTGCAGAAAAATAACTTATCAGAAATCGCGCCCGTCGTTTGGTGCGCTGCTCCACGACAAAAACAAGCTTAAGTGATGGCGACATCAAACAGTGCACACTCAGTAAGTAATCCTACAATTTTTTGTTTATAGCATAGTTTATACGGATTATTCCCAAAAAAAATATACGTATTTTGGAAATGTTGAGTTGAATTAGTCTAGGAATCGATTAATTTTATGCAAGAAAACCTTTCAAACAGCCATAGTCCATAAAGTGCATATGTGCTGGGCTGTGATTGGCAAGGACTCGTACAAAATGGATTCATAAAGAACGGAACATATCTACCGTGTTATAGGGGGGTTGACTGTACACTGTTGAGGTGCCAGACAAGTATTTGGTACTCTAGTATGCTATGCAGTGAACATTACCAGTATCCAGATTTAGTGTGCAATTTGCTTGACCCATGCAATGTTGAAAACTTTATTAATGGACAGGGCCATACAGTTCTCATCAGTTTGAGATCTAGATCTTGACCTACATTGTGAGACATCTGCAACTATCCACATTTGTTGCAATTGCTTAGTTGTTGGTGGACAGATGTTCCCCAATAACCAAGCAGTCACAGCAAATGTGGATGGTTTACAAGTGAGTGTCTGGTAGACCCTATACAAGGCTAAATTTCATTCCTTTCATCTGCAGAAAGTGTAGGACTGCAAGGTTTACAACCACATAATGTATATCACTGAAGCATAATAAAACCTGTATAGCATCTCAACAGTATATTTCCAGATATGGGTCCATTAGTGGCTGAGTAGATAAAACACAAAGAACTGGTAGTTGGTCACAGATTTATATCTTACCAACAGACTAGTCATGTGGAGTTTTTTGGGTTTTCTTCATTTATCTAAGACACAAATATGGGCCAATTTCCCATAAAAAGTCTTTCTGGGAGGCACTTCTCAATTAGCAAGTAGTAAAATTTGATATATGAATTATTGTAATTATGTTCTATCTTATTATTTTTCTTATATTCAGAAATATATATTCTAACTTATATAAGCATGTGATTAATGTATAAAAAATATGAATGTGTGATAAATTTTATGAAGTTATGTAGAATTGTATTTATATGTAGTGAAAATATTGTAAAAACTCTGTACCTTGATATTAACCCAGCAGTGATGTAAATTAAAAAGAAAAACAAATGTTTCAGTCTACTACTAAGAATTGCTTCAGGTCACAAACTTCAAATAGATGGAACACCCAACTCTTCAATGTTCGAATGTGTCAAAAACAGATGAGCTTGCACGTAAATTCAAATTAAAATGTAAGCTGTTATGTTTTTTTTATACTTCATTAAAATAAATATTTAATATTATTGAAAGGTATTTACTGTATTATTCAATAACGTTTTTGAATATTTAGTTCAGTAATATGTTCAACATTGACTATTATTCTATTTTAATATGAGGGAAAAAATGGAAATGATAACTCTACTCCCAAAGTGTATCTTTCTCTAAGTTTTAATTACTGTAGTGTGTAAATATATTGCTATTTAATTTTTCTGTGTTATAAAACAGGCATGTTTATAATAATTAAATAAAATATAAATAATAAATATGAAAGTATTAAATTGTATGTTCAAATGTTCTATTCCATACAACATAGGTAAAAAATTAACATTCTATATAGTAATTACAACAACACACCTGAATTTTTGCCGAGCATAAAATTTTTTTATTTCAAACATTTTCAACCTATTTATTATAGGCCATCCTCAGGCTTACGATTATTGCTCCAAAATAGAACATAACGTTTTTTGAGTAAGTTTCATTTTTAAATTTAAAGATTCAGAATAATTTTTTATATGAAAAAATAAAACAACAGTAAAAATAAAATAAAATGGCATAAATAAATAAACACTGTATACAAGGCTAAGTATAACTATTAGAAGTTTTAAGGCTTTTTAATTAATCCCCATGCTTTTTTCTATCATGTACTTCTGTGAGATTGTGGATGAAAAGATAGTCACATTAACGGACAAAAAATTTAAAAGGCTTGAAAAAGCACTGCTTGCGTAATTCCTGACATTCTTAAAAAGGTCGCATAACCCCAGATGCCTAGAATCTTTGCATTTGCAGACACACAAAGAGAACAAGGAAATCAGACCGGTGGTGAAAAAATGTAACACACCAACATATATACTAGAGAAGTGATTAAAAAAAAGTACATATATGAAGAGCTAGAGGAAATTAATTGTGGCTCATGATCCAAATAAGGTGGTAAAAGAATTGCAAGACTTGGCTTTAACAAGACTGTAAGTCTATACCCATCCATGAATCTAATATCTTGTTTCAATGCACTCATTGAATTTATGGTCCAATACAATCCAATGTTATTGACATACTCGGAGGACTTGAATAATCTAGCAGACTTGATGTGCTACCAATCCTTTTTTGGATTCAATGGAGTGACATACAAACAAAAGAAAGGTGTCCCAATGGGAAGTCCCATGTCAGGACTCCTTTGTGAACTAGTAATATGTAAACTGGAAAAAGACATCCTCAGAGATTTCACAGAGGACATTATATTCTACAAACATTGTCAATGACGTGTTTATAATTTGGAAGGATAACTGACGAATTGAAGAATTTTTACTTGCAATCAATAGTAATAATGATGGGCTAAAACTAGAATAGAAAAACAATACTCATCTCCATTTTTTGGACATTGATATAAAATTTAAACAAGGAAATGTACAAACAGCAGTGTATTTAAAACCCATGCATGCTCCCCTATATATACCATTGTGGTCCAACAATCCATATAAGTACAAGTTATCAGCATTTAAGGCACTTATTAAAAGAGCGTTCTTATATTGCACCAATGTTCAAAATCGTCTTACAGAGATTGGTAGAATTAAAAGAATTGCAACAAATTTAGGCTACAAAACTGCCACAATTGAAGGCCTGGTCAAAAGTTACAGACAACATAAAGGCAAAAAAGATATTAAAGTAGATGCAGTTAACAAATTCACATACAATAAGCATATAGGAGGAGTGATGAATGAATTGAGTACTTATAAAAATGCAAAAATGGTATATAAAAGAGCACCCAACATCTACAGCTTACTAAGGAATGATAAAGACAGAGTAAAAATGCAAGAGAAAGCTGGAGTGTATAAAATACTATTTGAAAATCAACAATTAAGAGTAACAAAGGATTGTGGGTGTAACCAGAAGAAACTTAGCAATACATCTGTGAGATCACAGATACGACGTTAATAAAGGGCACAACACCATTTTAGCAATCATGGCGCAGATGGAAGAAGCGAATGTAAAATGGGATGAAGCAAAAATCATTAAAACAGTCCAATCCCCAACCATTGCATTAGAAATGGAAAAGATGGAAATATATAAAAGTAAAATAAAAACCATTGCCTAAATGCCAAGGATGCTAATGTGCTTCCAACAGCATGGAAGTACTGTACATGATAGAAAAAAGCATGAGGATTAAAAACCCTCAACTTGTAATAGTTATACTTAGCCTCGTATACGGTGTTTATTTATTTATGCCATTTTATTTTTACTGTTGTTTATTTATTGTATTTATTTATTTTTTCATACACACAATTATTCTAAACCTTTAAATTTAAAAATGAAACTTATTTGAAAAAGTTACATTCTATTTTGGAACGATAATCGTAAGCCTGAGGATGGCCTGTAATAAATAGATTGAAAACGTTTGAAATAAAATAATTTAATGCTCGGCAAAAATTCAGGTGTGTTGTTATAATTAATTGCAATTGCTGAGAGAGAGGTGGATAATTCTATACAGTTTGAAATGGTAATAAACTGAAAATAGCTCAAAAGGAGTCAAAAACATCTTTATAATTAAAGAATCTTTGTAACATTAACAAGAGTGTGGTGCAATTTTATTTATTAAGAATTTCTTATATAAAATCTAGCTTAGTTATTTTATAAAGACCATATTTGAAACATCTAAAATTGAACCAGATTTGAAAATAATAATTAAAAAATATATATATTTTACCTGTAAAGATCTGACTTTTAATCTGTAGAATATAATATAAATAGAAAAAAAATAATGAAAGACATTTGTTACATATAATTGTATAAATAAAATAATTTATAATGAATACTAGATATTGTTTCCTGTTATCCTCTTGTATTATACTATCAATATTTAAATAGATTTTTCTAAATAATTAAAGAATTATTTCATAAAATTTAGTTCATAACAAAATCTTTTTATTTCTTTATATCCAGTTCTTATGCAATCAGCATAAAAATCAATAAGAATTTTATTTATAGACTTCTCCTTTATTCATGTATTGTACCAAACATTAGCGAGATTTAAATAGCATGTATAATAATTGTTTTAAGAATAAAAAAAAACCTTTTCATTTTTAAAAAAGTTATCTTAATGATGAATTGATGTAGTTTGTGTTAATTATATATATTCAGAAGTATTGAAGAAATATGCAAATTAAAATTATCTGCTTATAAATCTTTATTTATAATTTTTAAAAAATATTTTTATGAAAAAAATTTTAACATTACAGAATAAAAAATTTGTAATATATGAACTAAAATATTAGCATTTTTTTAAATATAAAATTAATATTAATAAAAATTACTTTAAACTTTTAGAAAACACCTGGCCTTACTAAAAGATTGTTGACTGTAGCCATAATGGGTGTATTAGGAATCAGTGTTCCAGCAGGTTATAATCTTGGAGTTATCAATACACCTCAAACTGTAAGTTTTAATTATCAACTATTAAATCATTCTGATTTTTTAAAATTAACTTTAGAGATATTTTAAAAAACATATCAGTAAATTGTAAAAAGGAAAATAAATGGATTAATGTATAGATTGATGACTAAATTTATTTATTAATAGCATATATATTTTTCTACATGATAAAAAATATATAGAGATAGTAACTTTCATAAGATAAATTGAAAATTTATACATTAAATAAATTGATGCAGAGGTTTAAAGGAAATATATAATTAGGAAATCAATAGCAGTTTTTTCTGTATGGAAAAGACAATTTAGTTATGAAAGACAATACAGTGATACCCCAAACTTACGCGATAGGTGGGGCCGAGCGATAACCACATAAGTCAAATTCGCATAAGTTGGGGTATAATTTCGCAATTTGGGGGGGCGCTTCTGTCTGCCGAAGCTGCTGGCGCGTTTTTTTACTCACTTCAAATATGGTAAAGAACGTATCCTGTCAAACAATTTTACGTTAAATTCTTTTGTTTGTGCTGTGTACTAACATTATTAGTGTTGGAAAATCTATCAACATAATTAATATGTAACGCTCGCCAATTAATAGAGGTAGACCATCACGTCAAAGGTCAAAATCAAATAGTAGAAAGGAATCTGCTTCGACCACTAATACCAGGTTAATTACTGATTACAATTCACACGTCGAAAGAACTTCTCCTGAACCATCCTCTGCAAATGCAGGTTTGAACCCTGAAACTTCACTTCTAAGTTCACAACTATCAGGTGAGCCATTTGAATTTTTATCTTCTTCACCAGGAAAAAATTCATCCGATATATCAAGTATAAC